CTTTTTTCGGAACCCCCTGTAAACTGGATATAACCTGTACTTGACACCGTCAAGTTAGATTAGTAACCCATTGCATTGTAAACACAACATCATGAATATAATTCATTGCTAAACAGTTTTGTTTGGGAAGACCTACACTTTGTGTTAGGTTTGTAATAAAGGGTTGGTTTACATAACTGTTAGTAACACTCTTCAGCTTAACAAGTTGCTTCCTATACAGGATACTCACAAAGGACAACAGAACGATTGTACGGATTTCATGTACAGGTGACCAATTGAACAAATATCTAGTAAACCTTCAATTTATGTCGTTATAAAATCCCTTTGTGGGTAACCCTGTATTACTCAAATCTCATCAGGCAGAAAGAATGGTACGACTTTGGGTCCTCGCTACTTCTTTGGTTTTCAAGTTACTACACCCAAAACTGTGAAGTACACATGGGATTCCAAAAAAATATTATCAAGAAATCGCCAGAAAAATTTTGTTTGTCACGAAACAAACAAAATTTTGGACTAAAACAAACCTCAGTTATATATAATATGTCTGTAAATCCTACCTATAAAATTGTTTTCAAAAGTAAAAAAAATCGGCCTCATCAAACCCTTACACAAAGATTTATCATTTCTGTTCTAGATTCTGTAAATTTTAACTGTAAGATTTGATTCATAATCTAACTGTCAATTTAAGCTCAATTTACCAAAACAGGAATAAATATCCTCCACCCTGGCCTTCTTGGTCTTTTTAACCATAAAGCCCCCCCCCCCTATCCAAACCAACACACCCTATAACCCCCAACCCCACCCACCTCCCAGAATAAATCACCTAAAGGATGCTCCTTAAACCCCAAAAATGAAAATCATAACAGAAAATGGAAATGATTGTTAAGAAAGTATATGGATTACAAAATCTCACTTTTAACTATTCGTATTTTTAATCTTGTGGTAAATTATTGTGGTTATTACACCGATTAAAGATTTCGTTTTATTCGTTTATTATCGAATTCTATCGATAACAAACAAGTTTTCTTAATAAAATACCAGTTTTCTCAATAGCAACCCCGTTTTCTCAATAACAAGCCAGTTTTCTTAATAACAAACCAGTTTTCTCAATAACAAACCAGTTTTCTCAATAAACAACCAGTTTTCTCAATAACAAACCAGTTTTCTCATTAACAAACCAGTTTTCTCAATACCAAACAATTTTTCTCAATAACAACCCAGTTTTCGAAATTACAAACCAGTTTTCTCAATAAGAAGCCAGTTTTCGAAATAACAAACCAGTTTTCGAAATAACGAACAAGTTTTCGAAATAACAAACAAATTTTCGAAATAAAAAGCCAATTTTCTAAGTGACAAACCAATTTTCGAAATTACAAACCAGTTTTTGGAATGGCAAACCAGCAGTGTTCTCAATAACAAACCATGGTTTTCTCAATAACAAACCAGTTTTCTCAATAAGAAACCAGTCTTCGAAAGAGCAAACCTCTTTTCATAATAAAAAACTAGTTTTCAAAATAACGACCAGATTTTTTGGGACATAAAAAGTTGTGAGATATCTTTAAAGTTCTGTTAATACTTTGGAACAGAATTTGTTCGTATTGTATAATCTAATATCTACATAGTTTTATAGAGGTGTAAATGAACCGCAAGCTATAAACAATGCACTAAGAATATGCAGATATGTTTTTGGGCCAAAGACAAAATAACAAAAATACAATTCGACTTTAATTATTTTTTCCAATTTGAATAATACCGTCGACCTGATTCAAAATGATCTTCAATAAAAAGCTTTGCATGCTAGGTTTAGCCCTTAATCGGATAAACTATGAGATAGATATTGTCGTTATTCTGTCTTAAAAAGAAACAACTTTTACAACAACAACAAAAAAGACAATTTGAAATGATCAGTTTTAGATATAACGTTGAGAACCACTTTGAAATTACGTCGAGAGTACCTTGTAGGGTAAAACTTGGACAGAATCTCTCTTGACTTATCTGCCTTGTATTTAGTCTATGATTGCGTGGGTTTAAAAAAGATTGAAGCCTAAACACAGAAACCAGTTTCTCTCCGTTTAGTAATGATAAACCATGATGAACCAACCAGTTCACACCTGTTCCCCAGGAAATAAGGGGTTTGCAAAATACTAGGAAAAATATTAGAAAGCAGTGAAAGGTTCAGTTGATAGAAAAGGATTTGGAGTTTTGCATATTCTTTATATTTAAAGGGATTTTTGTTGTAATTTTACAGAAGGGTATGACCGATTCACAACGGCACCCTTGAAACATTTATCCGATCGATAATTTTAAAGTTTTTTTGAAAGGTTTTTCCTCCATAGCCTGCAGAAAAAATGCGCAAGTCAGTTTTGTAGAAAATAGTCGGTTTTCAAAATTATAAACATAGATACAGACGAAGCTGTTAAGGGTACCGACAAGAATCTGATATCTACTGGAAATAAATGGAAGTTCACTTGAAATTACGTTTACATACCCAGTAACAGCGGCTCTCGGACTTATTTATTAACCATTTACAATCATATCCTGCATAAACCTATAGTTAATTAATAATTAATCTTCATGTAAAAATTAGAACTAAAGCTTAGATCAATGGATTTAAAGTTTTTTTTCATAGTTTCATCTTTAACATACTTCTCATTTGAAAATTTTAATTATTTATTGAATTACAATTGGAGCTGAAATAAAAACCTGTTTTATAAAAAATTGAAAGCTATGTCAAAGTTTTCATCTCATATTTAAAAAGTCAATCATAAAAAATATTTGATTTAAAGATCGAGGTTTTAAAACTCCCCTGCCCCCTAACCTAACCTAACCTCCCTTTCCTTTTACTCTCCCCCCGTTCTCTTTTTAAATTGCTCTAAAAGGAAGTCAATAATAACCGTCATAGGATCGGGAAAAAACAGGGTGCGAACCTTTATGCCAGATAGATAGATAAATAGATAGGATAGATATATAGATAGATATATAGATGGGGATTGGGGAGGGGTAAATGTAAGGTGGGAAGGGGGGGGGGTGAGAAATGGATACAGATTCTACTAATAATAGATATTACTCTACTGCATGGTTCGTAAGAATGCTGAACACTACAGAGTCTTCTGGTTATAACATTGCACGCTACAGAAAACCTGGTTGCAACTACGCTTCAGTTAAAAGCTGTATTTTTCATTCTAGTTGGTTTTAATTATTAAAAAATGTATTATATAATTGTAATTATTTTTAATAATTAAACAATTGTAATTTATAATTCAAAAATTACTTTAATAATTTGACAATTTTAATCTATAATATTTAAAAACAAGGAAAGGGTAGGTAGGGCTTTCCATTTTAATTTTAATTGACTTTTCATTGTTAGAGAGGCATGTCCGATTCACAACAGTAACAACCCTTTAAACTTTAGTCTGTTCAAGGATGAATGAGGTCAATTTTTATTATTTGGTTCTTCTGTAAAAGTGAATTCTGAATTATGTGGATAGTATACCGTTGTGAATCAGACATGGCACTCTTTTTCAAATAAATAGCAGAAAGGAATAAAATTTGTTTTAGAATAAATCGGAACTTTATAAAAAGCTTGATATGGCTCCCATGACTCACTGCTTTAGCAATTATTAAATCAGGGGAAAGACTAGGATTATTTAATTTCATGACAAAATCATGCAATTTATCCGCACTGCACTGCAGTTCAATAAATTCCTAACTTAAACGTGCCTCAGAGAATATTTTCCCCCTCCCTCCCCCCTTAGTCTTTTTGGTGTATTTTTATGGTGAACAAAATAAGTCCAGGTGGGAGAGGGGGGGGGCAAAAAAAATTTAAAAAAGGTATTAATATTTTTTCAAAAAAGGGGTTTTTAAGGGGGGGACCAATGTTGCCAAGGGGGGGACCAAAATTTTTTTTTGGCGCGCTTACGCGCGCAAATTGTGCCCCCCCTAAACAAAAGCCCTCGTACGCCCCTGTTTGTAACTCATTTTAACCTGTTATACTTATATGAAGATTTTTCGTATTTGATATTTGATATTTTTTTACATTTAATTTTAATAAAATCTTTCATTATTTTAATCAACAGGTTTTGAAATGAAGATAGAAATATGACTGAAAATATGTCGATAATGACAGGAATTCGTTGTAGTTAGTTTTGCTTGGAATAGATAGCTGCAGCGCTAAGCCCCTTAGCTCAATTTAAGTTTTCGAGAGGGACGTATGGTTTAAATTTCAGTTTTTAAATTAAAATTTAGTCTTTTGTAAACGTTTACATCTGTTGAATTTAAAAAAAAGACTAAACAATTCCACCAGACCAGTCTGTTCTCCATATCGTTTTCGTGAATTAAACTTCATTGTATTATTGTACATTATGAATAATATATCTAATATTTAATTCAAGATATTTGTTGGCACAGGCCAAGTTGAAAGTTCTAGGTCAAAAACTGGCATGGGTCAGGGGGGGGGTCGAGGGTTAAAGGGGAGGAGGACGGAAAAGGGATTTGTGTTTTTTTTTCAGTGATAATTAAAAACAATTAATTTAATTTTTAACAATAATTCATACAACTTCCTCGAAAAACAAATATTAAATAATTTTTCTTTTTCATGGAAACTTGAGAAATAATTGTTTATCAAATAAAAAAACGGAATCAAACCAATTAATGTAAATAAAAAAAACATAAGTTTTAGTTTATTTCAATTAGAAAGAAAAAGGAGAATGCAATTAGAAAAATTTTGGAGAATGCAAGTTTAAATGTTTCCCGGATGATGCATTCTACTGAATTCTTCCGAACTCACGAATTTCTACGCAGAAACTGCACTTTGGCCCAACCATCCTTCAACATTCGCAAAATTTCGTAAAGTTTGCAAACTACGGAAATTGATCTGCAATGATATTATGACCACCCGGCCAATGATTTGGTGAATATAAAACCTTTTGCAATCTAATCTTATCAAATTTGTTTCAGATCTTATCTCAAATTAATCTCAAAATTAATCGTCAGGGTCTCACCTTAGGAGCTGCTTGTGGATCACTAAGAATAACAAGATTAGCGACTGTTGCTAGATTTTATCACTTAAATCCGCAAACCCAGCGTAACTAAACTCACTAACTGGAATGTTACGCGTAAAAATCAGTTACTAAAATGTTTAGTGTTCACTTTAAACATTATTTGATTTCACTAAATCATCTCTACAGTCTAAGTATATCTAAACAGATCTTTAGAGAAATACGTCTGAGTGGAGACGAGTTGTGCAGGAGTCGGAGTTGTATGGTTCCGCTCTGCTCCGTGATCTTGCTTGGACTGACGTCGGTCTTCGGATTGTCGTGATCCTTAGACTTACGTTATACCGGGTCCCGGGGTATATTCTATAGTCTATACAGGGGAGACTGGTTATATGCTTACACACACACAAATACAGCCACACATATGACGAACTTACAGATAAATAGATAGATATAGATAATTTATCGACAGATGAACAGATAGAAATATAAGCAGATAGACAGATAAATAGACAGATAGACAGACAGACAGATAGAAAGATAGACAGATAGACAGATAGACAGACAGACAGATAGACAGATTTACAGGTAGAAAGATAGAAAGATAGACAAATAGACAAATAGATATATAGAAATATAAACAGATAGACAAATAAACACAAAGACAGATATACAGATAGACAGATACATATGTAGAGAGATAGACAAATAAACATATAGACAGATAGACAGATAGACAGATAAACAAATAGGCAGATATAAAGATAGACAGATAGACAGATAAACAGTTAAACAGATAAACAGATAAATAGATAAACAGATAAACAGATAAAAAGATAAACAGATAAACAGTTAAGCATATAAACAGATAAAAAGATAAACAGATAAACAGATAAACAGATAAACAGATAAATAGATAAACAAATAGGCAGATCCATAGATTAAAAAATCGATAGATTGAAAAATAGACAGTTAGAGATCTAAACAGTTAGACAGTCAGATCTATTGACAGATAGAGAGACAGACAGATAGACACCAAATTTTACTAAACACATCATACACCAGACCACAAGCACCCTATCTAACACCTTTATTCTACTAAATCAACACCTTGGCTGTGAGACGTCATACAACTATAACAAATAGGTTTCCAATTAAATCAGACAAAATTCACTGATTGTAAATTATAAAAGGTCTATGGAAGTTTTCTGTTTCAAATTTCTTTTAAGTACATTCTAGGAGAAAATATTCTTTGCATTTTTAAATTCTGGATTTTTCTTTCTTTAATTGACAGGCAGGGAATGTGTTTAAATATTTGCAAGAATTCGGGTTTAATTATAAAAGGGACTACTCCTTGTATTAGAGTTAGAGTAAAGGGACTGCTCCTTGTATTAGAGTGAGAATAAAGGGACTAATCCTTGTATTAGAGTTAGAATAAAGGGACTGCTCCTTGTATTAGAGTGAGAAAAAAGGGACTGCTCCTTATATTAGAGTGAGAATTAAGGGATTGCTTGTTCTATTAGAGTGAGAATAAAGGAACTGCTCCTTGTATTAGATTCATGATAAAGGGACTGCTCCTTGTATTAGAGTGAGAATAAAGGGACTGCTCCTTGTATTAGAGTGAGAATAAAGGGACTGCTCCTTGTATTAGATTCATGATAAAGGGACTGCTCCTTGTATTAGAGTGAGAATAAAGGGACTGCTCCTTGTATTAGATACGTAAAAAAAAGAAATTTTCAAAAATGTGTTCCAATTTAATCTTTAATTTAATCTTTGTTTTTGTGATTAAATTCTAAAATTTTCAAAAGCTGTGTAAAATATAATAAGCCCTGAACATATACAAAGTTATGGGATGTTTGAATTTTATAGTACTTATAGCAACCAAATAGGAGAAAGTTCGAATAAGAACTAAGGAGAGAGGACAGAGAATAAAAATGGAAGAAAATAAGAAATAAAATAAAAGGAAAATTAATTTAGGACAAAGTAGACTAGGAAAAAGAACAAATAGGAAGTAAGAAAGAAAAGAGGAAAAGAATAGGAAATGAAAACAATGAGGAAAACATTTTTAAAAATAGTTGAAGAAAAGAGAAGTATAGAAGGTAAAATCGGAAAAGAGAAGTATAGAAAGTAAAATCGGAAAAGAGAAGTAAAGAAAGTAAAATCGGAAAAGAGAAGTATAAAAAGTAAAATCGGAAAAGAGAAGTTTAAAAAGTAAAATCGGAAAAGAGAGGTATAAAAAGTAAAATCGGAAAAGAAAAGTATAGAAAGTAAAATCGGAAAAAAGCACAAAATAACAAGTATAAACAATAATAATTTGACCGAAAAGAAGTAACAAAAAAATACAAGAATTCCAAAAAATCTAAAAAGAAAAAAAGAATTTTTCTTAAAAATACCAAGAATTGAAAGAATATTAACAAAGAAAATAATAAATATTGGATTAAAAGAAGTCCTAGCGACGAAAAAATAGACTTTATATTTATATCAACTAAGAAAATGAGGAAAACTTATAATAATGAAGTAAAAAATCGTTAAAGGAAAAAATTAATAACATTGAAATAGCGTTTGTGAAAAAATGTGAAAAGATCATTAAAGGGAGTGTTCGCAAAAATGAAAGGGGGCTTAATACGATAAAAAAAAGCGCTTTTGATCGCTACTAATCTTACTTCTATCTGTTGCGTCTATAAGGAGAAAATTGTTAAAAACGACTAATACCGAAGAACGTAGTGTCCATACAAATTCAGAAAGATGCAACAGTCAACTCAGATCGTAAACAAATCAATTTAATTCCAAACAAATCATTTAGATATTACAACCAATAGTCATCGATTATTTTTCGACCAATTCGTAAATAGTTGATATTTCATACTAATTTTTTATTTTTCATGATCTGAGAGTTACTTTTGAAAACATTTATTCCTGTTTCAATGATTTTTGATAATGAAGAAGACATTTTTATATTTTCCAGGAATGTTCGAAAATCCAGCGGCAGCGGAAATTATTAAAAAAAACAAAATCAAAAATATTATGAAATATTAACTATATACGAATGCGTCGAAAAATAATCGATGGACGATGACTGCTGTTTGTAATATCTGAATGAAAGTACCAATTGATAACAGAATTTTGATATATTTTATGTATCCTTTTCTTTTCTCCTTTAAACCTGAAAGAATGAAGGAGTATATAAAATAACTGAAAAATTAGATAAGAAAGAAAATATTTACATTTTTGGCCGTGCAACCAGAGAACTCGAAACATGCAACACAACAAAAGATGTACTTAACATATTTAAATAGTCGGTAGGGTCCTAAAATCAATCAAAAGATGGTTCTAAAAATACCAAACATCGGCCATCATTTACATCAATAGGGGGTTTCAAGGTCCTTCAGAGTAACTGCATAGGATGCTTTAAGATTTGTGACCACTGAATACTGAACACTCAGAGGTTCTGTGATTTATACCATTCCATAGAACTGTAAATGATAGGATGAGATTAAATTCAAAACAAGAAAAATACAGGCTAGATTGAAATCTATTTTTCATCATGATTCCTCTTTCTGAAGATGTATTGAAAGAAAAAAATATTCTTCGAATTTTTAACTAAAAACTAAAGAATGCGCTAAATTTAAGTTATAGCCTAAAAGTTCTGTAAAATAATAAGTTGCTCTTAAATATTAAACTGTCTCAATTTAACTTTGAACGGAAAGGAATTGAGTCTTTGTCACAAACTATGATTTTCTAATCTCTATATCTTTGTAATCCAATGCGCGCCGTAGACCTTAGATATTTCAACCTATGAATTCTGTTAGATGAAAAAATCTAAGTTTGAAATATCAATGGTTTACACCATCAGGTGGAAAAAATATAGGTATTAGAAAATCAGATTTTGTTACAAAAACTCAATTCCTTTGAATATCCCTGGAAAAAAATCTGAACCAATCAGAGAAAAGGATTTACGGAGAGATATCCCTCATCAGCTGCTTTTTTAATTATAAAAAATTTACGTAACCGAAAAAAACCTAATTCCAGTTATACAACCGTTTTTTTGGGTTTACATGTAAAAATTAATTAATCTAAAACGTGAAATTTCTTCATTCAAGGTTTTCACAGTTAAATATATCGTAAAGTTGAATGCCGCTTTCTCAGCTGAATGATGATTGATTAATAGACAAATAGGAAAAATGCTGGATTTCAAGATTTTAACCCTGGTTTAAATTTTAATTTGCCGATTTTGGTAAGTTAAATATTTAACCCCAGGGTTAAAAATTCAGGTTTAAATTAAGTCACAAGTGGCATTTAAGTTGAAACTTAAAATTTAAGTCGGAACTTTTCATTCTTTAGTCTTAGACTCCGGATTAATGTCTCTTTCATATTTGTGCGTAAAATCCAAACTTGAGGAACTGCGAGGTCACAAAGTTTTAGCAATAATGTTGCAGAAATTTAACCGTCTCCTTCTGTCTAGTTGAGTTAAGTACTTTACTGACGATTTATAAATAATGAAATAAAACGATAATTACCAATTTTGAATTCCCCCTAAATATAGCTTTTCCAGAATAAACTTCAAAGAAAAACAAGTTTTTAGTTGCATGGCCGGACCCAGTTCTCACGCTAAAATTGGGGAGAATTTATTTTCCTAATTAATTCCAGAAAGAGGTCTATGTAATTTCTATACGTATTTCTATATTATTTAATTTATTAGATTTTAAAACTAAAAGTTTATTGTTTAAGTTAAGGTTCTCTATAATATACATGTTCTTGTTGTTGCAAAAAGGTAGTTCCTTGTATCCGTCACAAAATTAGCAATTCCTTTTTTTCAAACATAATTTTAGATATTTGGGAAAAGGGAGTGTTTGAGATAAAACATGAGTTGAATTTAAATGAATGCTTGACAATCTTTTAGAAAAGGGTAGGCCGGTAATCTTAAGAAAGATTTTAAAATGTGAACTTTTGAACATTTCGCTTATATAGATGTTCGCCCTAGTACACTTTAATCCTAGCATTTTGCCTAGATAACAGTTTGTTTATGGGAGTAATTTTCGCCTAGAATAGATCTCTAAACTACTCGAATAAACTAGGCCTAGAATAGATCTCTAAACTACTCGAATAAGCTAGGCTTTGAATAGATCTCTAAGCTACTCGAATAAACTAGATATTTTCATACATATAATAACATTCTTCTAATTCGATGTATGTTTCACATTAAAATTAAAGTTAGTGTACGAACCCCTTTTTTTAAGCCTCTACTATACTCATTCTTATTTTTAGCTTTCAAGTTTTTATTTTAACTGTCACAACAAATGCACAATTGACAATTGTTAGTAG